ACATTACTATAAATACGATGTAACATTGCTTAATGAATAAGTAGAAAATATACAATCAACAATATTTATCTATAGTAACCACATAGATAAGTACTCGTGGTTCGTCATATTACAATTAAACCGCAAAACCGCATACACTTAATGATTAGACGATATTTACATTGGAATTAACGAATTCACGTAAGAATAATCATGTAGACATAAAAACCTAATGTCAAAAGTATAAGGAGATTAGATATCAACGTATTAATACTATTAATTAAATTTTAGAACGAAATCAGTTAAGAATTACGTCATTTCAGATGTAATGCAATTCTTTGAAGGCTTGTTCAATGAAAAAGATAATATTTATGATATCTAACACTTAATATTTTGTTCTTTAAAGAAATAGAAATCTTTCAGAAATGGACATAAGACTAAATACATATCACTAATAAGTAATAACTATATACCAAATGTATATTATCACTTGACAAACTTAATTAGTTTCGATATCATTGGACCAATTGAAATTATATAAAAATACTTTGGTTCACAAGGTTCCATAAACTGACGACTCTAAATTCCTAATAAATCATTCTAATCCAGATTTTCCAAATTATCAGTGGTTTCTTAAATGGAACTGTATAATTTCATCTCCTGGAGTCTGTCTATCAAATAGTCTATCTAAGTTTATATTTCAGTCGACAGAGAAAACGAATTCGATACGAGCCATAAAATATTCAAGGACATTTATGCAAATATATCTTCTTGTGGACCAATTTATTAACATTGAAGTCAAACAAAAATTTCTATAACTTATAATTAATTTATCATTGGTATAAATTTTATTATTAAGTATAACGTTCGAAAGTAAATAAAAATCCACGGTTAATTCTATTAAACATTTGACTGCAACGAGTTTTAGAGAATCGTGTAAAATCCGGGGATTACATAATATCGTACACCTGATACAACGATTGAAGAATGCAACCAAAATAAATCATTTGTAAATGTTCAGGAACAATTGTCGGAAGAAGTACAACAATAGGCACGGATCTTTGTGCGCGTACCATGCAACGCTCGACACGAACACAACGGCCACGTGAGATAAAGCCTTCGCGGATACATTTCGATCTCCCTTCCCTCGATCTCTCCTCGCAATAATTTTGTTTAATGATGTTCCAGTTGTTTCGCGCTTTACACGACACACATTCGCACATACACACACGAGCCTATCGTTCCTCTTCCTGCTGGCTGATATCTCTCCTCTCGTGCGTTTTCGTTTATCTTTTTTCAGCTCCGAAATTCCAATCCCTGTCGGTACCATCGACTACTCCGACAATGAATCGCGTCAATGACAAATAATAAGTCCAGGGTAAAAATGATCATAGGCAGGGCCGTTCCTGGGTTGTTGGCCGTCCAGATGAGAAAACAGTATCGCCACCCTTATTAATTTAATATTATTCAATTAAGAATTTAATATGCAGTGTTTATATATATATATATATTTTTTTTTAAATGAAACCATTTATTTTTTAAAGATCTTTGTTTCATTTTATGAAAATAAAAAATATTTTTTAATTTTTCTTTTCATAAAGTGAAACAAAGATCCTTAAAAAATGGTTTTATTTAAAATGAATATTTTATTCCATATATAAGTACGAAACTAACACATAACGTTTGTAATAATAATCTTACGGCTGATAAATAGCGACCATTAATTACCCACACGAATTTAATCCACCATGACATTCACATTGATGTTGACACTAACGTTGACATGGGCAGTAACATCGACAGTGACATCGGCATTCACATTCGCGATGACAATGATAGCAACATCGAGAGTTACATTGAAATTCAGATTGAGGATGACACTGACGTTGACATGGGGCGTAACATCGACAGTGACATCGGCATTCACATTGGCGGTGACATGGGCAGTAACATCGATAGTGACAACGGCATTCACATTGGCAGTGTGAAGTGCCGTAACGTCGACAGTGTCATCGGCATTCACATTAGTGCTGACGAGGGCAGTAACATCGACAGAGACATCGACATTCACATTGATGATGACATTGACGTTGACATGGGCAGTAACATCGACAGTGACATCGGCATTCACATTGGCGATGACATGGGCAGTAATATCGACAGTGACATAGGCATTCACATTTGTGATGACCAGGGCAGTAACGTCGGTCGGGAATGCACTTTTACTATTTTAACGTTTTTAAGGTAGCTTCCGTATTTGGTATCGTATCTACCTGGGGCTCCATATAGCACTTTATACTTTTTAGCAATTTTACCAATTTAATTTGAATGATTAATATTTTAAACTACTTCAAAATACTAATGGAAAACAAACTTACAGATAAATGGAAAAAAAAACAAAAATTTTGTTTCCTTATTGTAAACAAAATTTCATTTTTGTTTAATTTTCAAGAAAAAATTGGAAAGTTTATCGAACAAACCAAAGAACGACACAAGACCCTAATTATCACTAATTGTAGATGTACATTTACTGCATGTTAGTCTGACTGTAAATAACAATTATATCGACAATTTTAATCAGTTTTCAAGTGAAAGTAAATACTGAGTTCGCTAATGCTTCAGGAACACATTTTCATGGCTATAAGAAAATGCAAAAAAAAGAAAACTGATTTTTTTATCTGCTAAAGTAGAACACCCCCTTAAAAATTTCTTTTAACTAATTATTACGAGTACTGTATAGATTATCATTCAGACAGTTTTATATTTTTTCCGTGTACTTTCGTGTCACTCTGTACCGTCTCTCGTCCATTGTTCAGAGATGCACTCTCGCCAGTCTATTTAGATTCTATCATCTAAATGCAAGTAACGCGCGGTCTCCGCTCGGTCTGCCAGATCGGTGAAAGACAGAGAGGCAATGGGAACGAAAGAAGGTGAGGAGAGTGGAATGGCGGCGCAAGGTATAAAAATTCACGGAATGCAGTTACTTTCATTTATGGCCTAATCCTTAGGAATCGTCCACAGCGTTGCCTCCCCTCGAGGTTGCGCCCCGTTAGTCGAGGTAAATCGCACGGTTTTGCGACGCACATTATCCTTTTCCAGTTTAACCTTTCTGTGTTTCGCTTGGACAGCCACTTTCGATTCGGTCTATGCAAAGTGTTCACGTTATTACGGGTCCAGTGTTTTTCCTGCACCAGGTATATCGTCGATTTAGTTCTCAATTGTTCTATCTTCACTAATTTCTAAACTGAGTACAGTAAATCCTCGATGAGTGCTCGAAGACTCCTCGACGCTGAACATTAAATATTTCATAAACTAATGGCCATTTGGAACTGAAACAAATATCATTGGCTTCAGAATTTCAAGTTCTACCACAGTTCTAAAGGAGGAACCTTCGAACACTTATCGAGGATTTACTGTACACTGAGTTTAAAGTATACGAAGTTGAATATTATAAAAGCTGGGAAGTAATGAAACATACTATAATATCATCTACTGAATAGCTATTTATTACAATATTTACCACAATTTTATCTTATTAACAACATCAATTTATAATTGTTGGTAGTATTAGGAGATACAACCATTAAGAGAAAAAAATTTGCAAAGTTTCAGTGTTAGGACTTCAAAGAATAGTTGTTGTTTTCTGGGTTGAATTTTCTTTATATTATGATAAATTTGTATTCTTTGGACCACGTGAATTAACGAAATTTTTTTAGAAAATAAACTTAAAACAGTTAAGAACTCGGGAGACGATGTGTAGACTGAAAAAGGAAACAATTTCGCTATATTTCATAGATAGTATGATGGCATGAATTTAATCAACTCCTCTGCTTAAACACATTATCAGCCAGCAACTAGTTAATGGATTTCTTAGATCCAACGATCAACTGCCAAGGAATTATTATTACTTAAATTATACTTGCAAATTACAATCGTAAAACATAGCAACGTAATGTAACGTTTTCTTCTTTAAGCCTGATTTAAAAGTGAATAATTGACTTTTTATCGATAAAAACTGAAGTTAAAGCGCATACTAACAGGCTACTTTATATTAAAAACACAGGCTGTTAAAGATAACCAAAATTAAATTAGACAATAAATATCACAATGGGAAACGTAACAATGTAAGATAACGATTTCTTCTTAAATCCTGATTTATAGGTAAATAAATGGCTTCTTATTAATAAGCACTGAAATCAAAAAACCTGTCAATAGACTACTGGTCAGTAAAGTGTTCAGACAACTTTCCCCTGATACATTCAATAATTGAGAACTACCTTGGAACATGAGGAAATAAAATTGAACAACAAGCTCAGTGTATCTCAATATGCATACCTACATAAATTTCTCAAACCAGTTAAAGGATCACTACATGGGCTGTAGAAGCAAATAGAATGCTACTAGTTTAATAAATTTACATTTCTTACCTGCAACAATAACACCAAGTTTTTCTGGTAAAAAAACTTTCCAGGAATGATACACCATATTTACAGACACAACAGCTGCAATATATGACTCTTTAATTGTTTTCAGCGAATGTTAGCTTCGTGAAAATTCATATGTGATCAATGAATCATGTATAGTTATTGAAAATATACATATTGAGATTTCACTTTTTATAGCTGTCTATTTTACGCGTTAACCCTTCGCAGCCCTCAGTTGTAATATCCCAAAAAGGCAGTTTGGAGATGAATACGATTGGGAATCATTGGTGTAACTATGATTTTCTGTCTATGGGGGAGCAGATCCCCTGAATTTTGCCCATAAAACTCCCCATCAGGCATCTGTATGTGTTTTAACCCTGTACGTGGGATGCACAAAATAAAATTACACATTTTACCATAATTATTTACATATTTATTTAACACTAAAACTAAGAATAGAAAGATATAAACATGTTTGATGAAGATATAAACAAAAAATATGTTTACCTGCACAAAATTAAGTAGTTGGTAAATGTAAAGAAACAGAAACAACATTAAAGATGTTTTTAATTCAACTTTCTTTGCTGTCTGTTTTAGATATGGGAACTGGTGGACAGCAAGACGGGCTATCTGACGCGGAGCGGATTGTATAAGGGGCTTGCTCTAGTCGCGTTTGCTCAGCATGGAAAACAACCCAGCGACAAGCTCTTGGAGAACTCTGAATCTCAAGGTAGACGCTGCTTTTAATTGCCTCTGGTAAAGCAATTTTCTTACGCGTAGAAATCGTCTACGGCAAACAACGTTCAAATTAATTACATTTTCCTACTTCTGTTTCTTCTCCTCGAAATCATCCGCCTGATGGACAATTTATATTAGGGTATTTGTCAACCTATCTACCTATCTATAATAGGAAATTATTTTTTTTGTTCAAGAATATGTAGCACAGATTCTGCAAACATGAGTTAAAAACAAATTTAACTCCCCTGTTAATGAGTTCATTTAGTTGAAAATCAAATATTATTATAATGGTGGTCTTATTCTATTTATACCAGGGATCAAACTAAACAATCATATTTCGTTTTTACAAAAATTCTGTTTGAACTTATATGATTCGTTTAAGAAAATATCTGTTCCTGTGGAGTTTTTATGGAAAGAAATGTTACCCTTAGGAATAACGGTGAATAACTACCAATTTGAATTACACCGTATTACTAACATTCGTGTGAAGAAACCAGGTTCTTAATGGTATCACTGACCAGCGCAATCGCTGGTTGCTTTTCTTATCGGTGAAAAGACACACGGTTATCACGACTGAAGGAGATTCACCGGAAATGTACCGTTCTTCCGGCAATTTCTCTTACCAGCACTTCATCATGCGCACACTTTCGAAATCAATTGAATTGAAAATAGCGTTTCCGTTCGACTTTGGTGCTGTGAGTAATTTGTTAAGTCTTCGTGTCCTTTTTAAAAGAAGCCAGATCGGCCATCTTTTTCATTTCAATTCATTTATCGATAATTCTTTTACGTGAATTAATTGACTTACTTTCTGAAACTCGTCTACTATCTTACAGATTTTATTACTGACAATTACTAACATTTTGTATTTTATGGTAAAGCGTGTTTTCCACAGAATAATTGCATAAAAAAACGGTCTTGGTGTTTATAGTTATAATAGTAGTTATAGTACCCTCTGTAAAATGTTTTTTTTATCTACTCTACCAACAAGATCCTACACAGAATGAAGTCACAATTCCATATTCTATAATTCTCTGTATTAAGTTACCACATACATAAAAATACTTCTTAACAGCTTTTTGAAACAACTTTATACCAGCAAGATCCTACACCGAATCGAATATTTTATTAAGTTACCATATACATAAAGTACTATAACACATCTTTATAGCTTCTAGAAGCAATTTTTAATAAACAATTTTTTTCATTCCTTTTTTTAACTTTCAGATACGCGACCCATTGTTATTCTAGCTTTCGGAATTTCTGACTTTTATGAAATTTAATAACAATCCAACCGATTGCTATAAATAACGAACAAAGAATATTTGTGTATGCGACCGTTGCGAATTAGTAACATTGTTTTGCAGAAGTTATGGTTGAAAATTTAACGTTCACGCGGATAAGCGTGGCTGGGAACGCATCCGCGAGAAAAGTGACTGGGAATGAGTCTCTCAGCTCCGCTTTTATCGTGAACACGTAGCAAAGTACCGTAGGTCAGGAAAGTCCTCTCGAGTATCGAGGTTGCGGTTACGACGATCATTATCTTTCACGTCGCGGTAAACAATACCGAAAGAAATTGCTTGTGGCCGCGGCTAAACTTGCAACGATACATAACAGTACCTATCGATTGGAACGACTGATTCTGTCATCAAACCAAATAAATCCAAAATATTTCCACTGAACAAACTATTTCGAAAATATTCTAAGAATATATCCACTGATGAAACTATTTCCAAAATATCCACACTGATCAAAAATATTAGGGCTTCCCATAACAAGGGGGAATCAAGAATTTAAATTTCTAATAATTATGATATTAAAGTAATTATCGTACGTTGGGAAATACAGATAATCTATTTGGGACTAATGTAATCCGTTCAACCCTTTAAGGCCTGAATTGTGTTACCGTTATTTTTCTTTATCGCAATTTTTATTCCAGATATGTACTCGAAAATTGTTCAGATACGGTTTTTTATTTTCTTTATATTTTTATTCGAATAACTAAATATAATGTTTATGAGTGCTGGCACCGTTTTATAACATCTCAGAGGCCTTCAAAGAATTAGTAAATACTTTCCAGTCAGCCAAACCAGCAAAGCCAAATTTTGCCAAACTTGCACAGAGATTGGCAGCAGATTAGCAGCAAGTCTTGGAATATAGCCCTGGTTATAAATTGGCCTAGGTTCCAAGAGTTGTTGCTAATTTGCTGCCAATTTGCTTCACTATTTTGTCAGCAAGCATTGTCTGAAAACCCCAAGTTAAATGCGGAAACAGATGGCTATGGTTTTTTAGATAAATTTTGTCATTATTTGCTGGCAATTTGCTCGAAACTTACATACATCTGGTTCTCAGGGCATGTAAGTCCTAGTTAGGTTCTAAGTATATTGGTTCATGGCAGCATTTTATTTTAACATAAGTAATACTGCAAAGTACAGTCAGGACATACAGCGTTAAAAATCACCCTGAGAACTGTCATATTATTCTACTTATTCCTGTCTGCTTCACAGAATTACCGGTTCCTGTTCTTGGCGACCTTTCGGAAGTGACGCTTCTGGCTCAGAGGTTGCTCAAAGGCAACAATCCGGCTAAATTGAACCTTACGTACACGGACATTTGTAATCTGGACACTATAGAAGTCAATCTGGTGCCAGAGAAGAAGGGGATCTTTTTGAAGCACGTGGAGTACCAAGTGACGAGCAAGGTATCTTTTTGTTTGTTTCATTTCAATGTACACAAACGTTTAGTGCGTTCACTATAAACAGTCATTGCCAACCACTAATTATTTACTTAACAGAAAAAATTCAGTATTTATAGATGTAATTTTCCCGAAACAATATTTACTCCATAATGTCGGTTATTATTACCACGGTATTATTAAAAAGTATTATTGTTCTGCTAATAAATTCAAACAACCGTTATATAACAGAGCAGTTGGGTTTTAATAATGATCCACGTACGATTATCGGTATAAAATGGACACGTGGGAAAAACTAGCTAATAGAAAATACACTATTAAAGAATAGAAATTATAACTGTTCCATAACAAGTATGAGAATACAATATGTGCTACGAAGAAGACTGCATTGAAAGTCGTGATGCACCTTAAACCGTATAAATTGTAAACAGATAATGATCAAAAAATTTATTTAGGAACTGTATTGTCAGGGATTTAATGAAATCCACTGTGCCCATATTACTTACTGTGAAACCATACTATATACGTGAAATTAACAAAGAACCATTAGATTAACGCCATTTTATTTCTTGAACTATTGAAAATGTCAAAATTATTGCAAACGATAGTGATACTAATAAATAATAACAAACAGTAAATATAATTTTATTGCTTTTGTTTCAATCGTGTTATACAGGGGGTGACTTTATTGTGGGACGACACAATGGCATCCCCGATGATCCCAAGAAACTTTAATGTCCTCTTAAAAACATTGAAACATAATACAATGTATAATTTGTACAGTAGTTTATAAAATAATCAAAGGATTCATAGACGATTTTATTAACTGAAACACGTATAATGGTAGAACTATTTAGGTATTACATGATAACAATACCCTGACGAACTAGGATAAATATTCTAAATGTAGAATCTTCGACGCTCTCCCCATTCAGTATTTAAATCGTAAACGAGAATTACGGAGTAATGGATTGAAAACAGTTTTTATTTTCAGAGATTTAATTCCATCGTTTATAGACGCTACAATGATTTCGTATCGTTACACGAGCTCCTCTTGGCAAGATTTCCATACAGGTTGATACCAAAGCTTCCACCGAAGAAGATCGTAGGAGGTAACATATTTTATTTAGTTATTTAAACATATTAATACAAACACTACATAGGACTTACTTTCTCTAAAAAAGCCAAATTATCCTTCCAGTCTACCTAATTTCTCCATCACTTCCGTTTCTTTCCTTCTCTTAGATTTAGATTCGAACTCTTCACAAGTAATACTCGAATTCTAAGTGCTAGTGAGATACGGATAACTGATTGAATCATTATCATTCATTGTATCAGGCATTTAACTGTTAACAAATTAATTATGTTCAAAAAGTATCGATAAATAAATATAATTTTCGCTAAACTGCACACAATTGAAAAGAATAGAAAACTTCTGATCGAAGTACTCACAAAAGGTTCGAACCCACTCGGCCAGGGTTCGAGTATACTCGGTTCGAACCTCTTTCGCCTGGGTTCAAGTCTACTTAAAAGAATTGCTTTCCTTTTTCGAAATATGTATTTATAAAACTATCCAGTTAGATTCGAACCTACTTGTAATATATCCATCTCTAATTACACCTACGACACTGTAACAGTTTCCTACCACATCAAAGTCAAAATCATTCCGCATTAAAAAAGATTTAAAGAATCAGTCCAAGAAACTTCGATACAACTGAACTGCTACGGATCAAAGTGGACCCGTCCATATTTCGAGGGCTAATCGTAGGATTCTACTTTCGACAGCGGACTCTCAATTCCTGGAGGAAAGAAGACGATCCCTTTTACGATTTCTCACGGTTATCGCACGCCACCCAGTCGTGTGCAAGGATCACATCGTGCAATTCTTCTTCACCTACACCGGCGAGGAAACACAGCACAAGATTCGCGAGGTGTTCAGGCGAGTGCCGGACGAGTTCGCCACGTCGGAACTGTCCTCGAAAGCGAAGGAATTGGTACCGCCGGAAACGTTGACAGAGTTCGCGAACAGCCGCGATCAAATCAGAGTGATACTGCTTGGGATTTCCCGGCTGAAGAATATCGCTGACTGTCTGGCGATCAGATCGCACAGCTACGCCGTGGACATGGCGGAGCTGGGCACGCAGCTGAGTAATTTGGCCTCCGAGCCGCATGGCGCCACCGCTTGGGCCACCGGTGGGTCCACCATTTGGCAGGAGATGAAAAAAGGATTTCATATAATTTCGAAGTAAGTCGTATCCGCGTCACCGTGGTTAAATTTAGTGGTTAGAAGTATGGATTGTAAATTGGGTTGCTTAAAATTGAGTTAGGATGAGGGGAAAGCTTTTGAAAAAATCGAACGTTTCTTGTACGAGATCATCCTATGAGTTTTCACTTTTTGATACATAGTACACTCACGAGCAAACTCGACTTCCATGAGGGGAAAAAGTGGCATAGGGAAAGGGCCTTCTACCATTTGGTTTCGGAAGTTTCTGAAAATTCCAAATTAACATGCATTTTAACATTTGAAATATATTTACCAAGGCGGTTGTTCTCCCACTCCACTTGTTTCCAAAGTAGGTGCTGAGAAGATCTGAGGGAGCGTTCTAGTTATATTACTTTGTATTCAATTTAACTGTTTAAGATTCAAAGATTACACGCACTAGTACACTTGGAAATTTTCATAATAAAGATAGTTTACCCGAAGGGGGCGCTGAACAAACATAAATTTTAAAAGGGCGCGGTGAGCCAAGAAAGGTTGGGAAACTATGCCCTAACAGAAGCCCAGTTTGCTCCTGAGGGTACATACCATCAAAGGATTTTGCCTTCTGAACTCTCACATAAAATCATTAGCTTTTGAGTATACTCTGTGTAAATCGATTATATTCAGAGAAACAGTAAAACGCCAAGAATCTTCAATCTAGATAGATTATCACCAAATTTAGTCCGTCAATTGTAAAGGTTGATACTTGAATTGTCAGTTCTGATTAGCCCAATATAAAAAAGACATTTCGAAGAAACGATAAAATATGGGATGCAGTATAGTAAATTATACCATCAGCCGCGACGCGACTCGGAAACACCAACAAGAGTTACTTGAATTGGATCGACGAATGTTTCATGGATCATGTTCCACGGATATTTCCCCTATTTGACAGCCGTCGTGACATTTTCTCCTCGGTTAAAACGTTCGAGAATCCCTCCCAAAAAAAAGGCTCAACATATGGATCGTCGAAGAGACCCTCACACGCGATCGTCGTTGCAGAGAGTTCAACTTGCTCTCGTCGAGAGCGCTTCAGCAGGCGGTCAGGGAAGAGACGATGGTCTGCGAGAGGCTGAACCTGCTTCTGGACATTCTGGTGGCGCACAGAATATTATGCGAGAGGCACGAGCGGGGAGTGAGCGCCGATCATCAGCGGGCATTATCCACGATGCTGTCCTTAAAGAAACGTCAAATGCAAGGAGTCATCCGCGGCACTGATGCAAGTATATTAATATAAATCCTCCGCGAGTGACGATTCACAGCCTTAAGAAATGTATATTTATCCGGTGACTTAACTCGCCTCATTGTTACCGTCTCTACACTCATTACGTGATTATTCTGAAATTGCCCAAGGTCTTTTATATTAACGAGAGGGGAAAAATGTGATAATATATCATCTCTAACCTGTACGTTATCTTACGTAATTCGTTCAAATCTACCATACGGACAAGCCTGTGCTCGGCTACCGGCGCGTTTCTTCGCAGAAAACGAATGCCTAAAGGCAGTCTGTCACGACATACAACAAACACAAATACAGTTGAGCGATTCACTCACGAGAAATACTTTCAAGTAGTTTCAAGAGCAACTCAGGACAGTCAATGATATTCTATCACAATTTCGTCGAGTGAGAAACATAATGTCCGGCGAGCGTGGTTTCACCCCTTAGAGTCGCGTCTCAGCCGATAAAAAAAATACGTATCCGTTATTTTTGACTGCTTAACAGACATACGAAATTTCATCAAAATCGGAGGGGGACACTTCCGTGCCTTCCCTTGTCAGTCACAAATGCACGACTGCCTTAACGATTGAATTTCTTTCTGTTTGACGTGCCGTAGACGGACACGGTTGAATACCTGGAAAACAAGATGGTCGCCCAGGAATCCGTGATCGCGAATGTGGAGCTACGGAACTGCTTCTCGTTACACTGTTTACACATGGAAACGCAGCTCGTTCACGCGCATTTAGAGATACTCGCCACGGTGCTGCAGAGCCTCGTAAACGTTCAAATACGCGGCCATTCCGAGGTAAGATTATTCGACTGTTCGCATGAAATTCAGAGTATATAACCATTGTGACGTTTTATGCTACCGAGAACATGAGGAATCGGTAAGTTTACATCTGGACGGAGGTGACGGGAGGATTTTAGTTTGGTCATACAGACTCCTCTCGATTATCGTCTGGCTTGTCCTACACGATTATTATCGAGACGTCATCCCCACCACTGGGGAGGCCGTGGATCCTGCCAAGCGCATACTTTGCTGCCCCTACGCTTTTGTTGCCGAGGGGGCTTCGGCCACAAAATGAATTTATGACGGTCTGAAGCATTTCTCCCTACAAGATTATTGTCTCGGCGTGGACCCGAGTTCGGGACGATAATCGAGAGGAGTCTGTATATGTTATTTCCCATTTAGAGTGAATACTTCACGGTTAATTCAAATATTTAAAGGTGAAATACTTTCTTGAACTTAAATTCCTAGATGAAATAATTTTTTATGTGGGGAAATGAAAACTTTGAACTTTCGTATACATTATAGGTGTCCCATTTCAATCGACTCACTCGATATCTCTGAAACTATTGACGATATTAAAAAATGTTTCAGACGAAAGTTAAATGGTACCAGCGGGCACACTTTCTGATATAACTTTTTTCGACAAAAAAAATCGACCCTTTTAATGTGAACAGTAACTTTCTGCTTCATAGAACAATTCATTGAAAAAAAGATTTTAGGTATAAAATCGGAAATTACCGGTAACTCAATCTGATACAAACCCGCGAACTGTTGAAATGGATTGTTACCCGGACGAGTTGATAAATAAATATTATTTTAAACATGCCATAGCTTGCCGAAGTGTGGAAATTGATAGAACCAACGATCATGAAGTGTTTGCCGGAGAAGTCGACGAGTGGATCGAACGGAATTTCATAAGGAGGAGAAAGTCTCTTTCGCGTCAAGTAGCTCGTGTTTTGTGATTAGATCTTAACGACTAGTGCGCAAGGTAAGGATACGGAAAAAGGAAGACTCGGAGGTATATTATAACATAGGATTATATGCTACCGCCTCTGAATCCGTACGATTAAGAGAGCATTAACTGTATTCGACAAAAATATTATAAGCGAATTACGCGTGACGTTAATAAACTGGAATTATTTTTAAATATCGTGGTGCAATACATATCACAACACGCGGTAAACACACGTATAGACACAGGATGTACGTGCATGTTTGAAACGTATGCAAATTCAAAGACTTTTTAAACATTCCTTGTTGTGTACTTAATATATTTTATGATCTGATTAAACAATCATATGCTGTCGTGTATATAATAAGTTACGCTTTTCTCTGTGAAAACAATAGATAAATAGATAAAACATCTGTATAAATGAACAAAACGATTGTAAATAATTTGGTTACTGAGATACTATGTTTTTATATGAGTTAGAAGTCTGACGAGTGTTAATCATGATTCTCCTGTACCACGTTGACCGTGGACACGCTGAATATTTTACACACATTTATATACGATACTCGCCTTTGTGTAACAGTAATGAAATATATTGTTACTATATAATCGCATTAATTTACTCTCATATTCCCGCTAGGATCAGAATTAATTAAATTTAAAAACGAAATACCAGATTTGACTTGAACAAGTTTGTAATATTTTATAATGTTGTTTAAATATTAATGGAACTTTTATACTTACGTATATGCTTATGGAGGTATTAAAGGATTTTTTTACATCATATACTCAAATAACGAATAAGTTATGTAGTTTTCGACGTTAATGACAACCTATATTGTATCAAAAGTTAAGATGAATGACCACTTCATTGATTGCAGTACTACATAGCATAATTAGATACACAGTATTTTAAGCATACTAAACGGAAAATCAACAGACAATATTTGAAAACTCACTTCCTTCGGATATATAGTAATGATAATATTTTTGAGACATACTTTTTTAAATTGCAATCACTAGGAAATAACAAAACATATATTTCATTACCTTAATTTGAATGCATATAATCTGTTCCCTACTTTAAGATGTACTTTGTTGATGTGTATATATCTCTCTTCTATATGTTCAGCTAAATAGTGATTTAACTTATTTGTCAAGGAGGATGTAAGATTGCTTAAACTTGCTGTTTCATCGCCGAGACACCACAGAAAGCTGATGTGGTATGAAGAATCCTATGAAATGAAAAAAAATCTGGTTTAGTATGGCGGATGATTCGCAAAAGAAAATATTGGTGCGAACATATTAATACAGTATTCAAGGGCAAAGAATTCTGTGAAGTTTTCGAACGTTTTATATGAATTATACAATTAAAATCATAATATTTTACTGAACATGTCTTACCTCATAAAAAGGTGGCAATTTGTACTCTACAAGAGAATTATTAATATCCTTTACAAAATTATCTAAAGTTCCTTTGTAATCAACACATTCTATCCCAAGAAATGTACGTGTTTTTTCTTCATTACAGTATGTCCGTACATTCAAAAATTCTAAACGAAATTGATTGGTCTGCTCGCATAACTTTTTAATTTCCTCTACAAAGGATTCAATCCAATGGAATTTTAAAATTAAAGTTCTTGTTATGCTAATATGAAACTCTTCAGAAAATATATTACATTTCATTGGTAATTCATTCGATACTGATAGCATCCATAAAAGCATGGTCTCACTAGGTTCATCTAAAATTTGAAACCATTAGAGTATTTTAACCAATATCATTAAATGATACTAATAATTCTTTTCATTATTGTACTAATAATTCCTTTTATTATTACTAACAGTCAATGTAAACTAAGGTTGCCCAATTCCCACGTTCATGTTTGAAACTTCTTATTCGTCCATTGTGTTGTGATGGATCATCACTAAGTTCTTCGTGATGTGGAACACCTTTCCATGCTGCAATACTCCCAGGTAAGGGTAAACTGTAATATTAAAATAATAAATTTTAAACACCTATGTTAATCAAGCCAGTTACATCTAAATAAGAATGTTGGATTTCTTTATTTCTTTGATTAAAAGAAATAATAAAACCCTTAGAAATTAAAGGTATTTCATAAATATGTATAAATATTTACTAGAAAAGTGCACAAAGAGATATTCCTTTAAATAGATATAATTATTCATAAAAACATTTCTATCGATATGTTAAACACAGTTTATTATATTTTTTTATTGCGTGAATAGACATATATTTAGTTGTGGAAGTACACATCTATATCCGTCTATATATACTCGTATGATTTCGTAAAACACATTTTTCTTAAATTAACTCGTTCAATATGTTGATATGTTCCTTATAAATGGAATTTACAAATTGGAAACGCAATTGTCAAAAATAAAAAAAGTAGATACCGTTCAGAAACTTCATTGGATTTATTATTGTTATCCTTAATAACTTCATCATCTTCAGAATCAGAAGTGTATGTACTTATTAATCCTAAACCTGACATTATACACAAATGTTTATACTAAAAATATGATCTTTCATTCGTTGAGGTTATATTCTGAAATTGTCATTACTGTTAGTTTATTATACCAAAATATAATACATGCAGTCACTGTTTGTTCACATAGTATAAACCTTCACCGATCCACCTTAAAAATTTGATACATATGTGTTTTTAAAAAATGAAATTTGTAAGAGAAATATTTATCTCGAAAATTCTTTTGCTCTTTGAACTGTGTTTGAAAGATTAATTTGAACATGTGAGTATGTTACATATGACATGCATACATACAGTATATGTATAACATAGTAATTCCACATTCCAGTGCAATGTTTTCAGGGTTCAATCTAGAACTTAATTAGAAAACACTTGTTCCTTTATTATTCATATATTCTAAATTAATTACAAGTCATAGGTACACAAAAAACAGCATATGTACAGACATTTAAACGTTTATGTACAATTTATATTTTATAAAATTAGAAGCTTATACATTTATATTACATTATACCTATTATTCATCAATATCATATTCTTCACATTTCATTACATTTGTCAAATTTTGTAACACACATTTCATTCGCTGAAATCTTCTTCATCACTAAAATATTGGTTTCTTTTGTATCGTTTTCCTGGTTTCTGAATTAATTGGTTTTCTTCCTCAAATACTTTACTTCCTACTCTTTGACTTTTCTCAAATTCTTTTTGTTTATGCTAAAATATGAAGTATTATAAAATGATTGTGCTATATGAGTTATAGTTTCATATTATGTATATCATAAAAAAGTCTATTAAAACCTACATTAATATTATAATCACTGCTCTAATAAATATTTATTACAATTTCACTAAATATTTTTATATCTCTGAGTACATATAAGTTGAAGTTCATAATGTTTAATGAAACATTAAATGTTCAAAATAAAGATAAAAATAATCTGATTATTATTTTGTTTAAATAGAAATAGTATTCAAATAAATAGTACCTCCAATGCAATTGCAGCACTTAATGTTTCTACTTCTTCATCCCAATTGACATCTACTAATTCATCGTCACTATCTATTGAACAGTGAGTTGTAGATGGGATATTAGTAATCTTGTACTTCTGTCCAATTCGATTGTTTTTTATTGGGGGATTCCTTGGTCCTAATGTATTGTTTCTGGAGTTACATGACAACTGACCCGCCCCTCCATGTTCATAACTCTGAGATTTATCTGGATAATCTTTTCCAGTGTGTACTTCTTCATCTGAATTGTCCTCTATTAACTCTCCATCACTATCTATTGAACAATAAGTTGTGAATGGACTATCATTAGTCTTGTGTTTCTTTCTAATTCGAATCTTTTTTATTGGTGGATTCCTTGGTCCTAATGTATTGTTTCTACAATTATATGACAAATGACCCTCTTCTCCACATTCATAACATTGAGATTTATCTGGATAGTCTCTTCGACGAATAAATTCAGTACTGCGTCCATTATCAACTGCTATAGAACTTTTAACTGTACGACCTCCTACCTATTCAACATTATCTATTAACAATACGATGTAACAAATGTTATTACATGAACAATATAATAACTTACTTCAGTGTTATTTAAACCTTTTGCACAAGAAAGAGCATCTTCAGGAGTAAGAAATAATACAAATGCAACACCACGACTTCGGCGTGTGGTTTTGTCTTTCATTACTGTTACTCTATAAGCAATGAGAAATAACATCATTGAAAGCAGATTTAATTGTTGGTATTTCAAGGTTGCTTCTCATTTAAAAATTTAATGCCTTTTACAGCTTATTTTTTATTAAAATAATTCAATAATATATCATACATATGATTAATTTAAACAATTCATGTAAGTTTATAAGTGATGCCAAGATATTTTTAACTTACTTTACAATTTTTCCATAAGTCTGTAAAAGTTGATGTATATCATTGTTTGTTAATGAAAAAGGTAAATTTGAAATGTAAACTGTTGATTTACTGGGTACTACTCCACCACTCATTGCTTTCAATTATATAGTTTTATCAAACTATAATATCCATTTACCTTAATCTAAAATGAAAACAATATTTTATATAATAATAAACAGTTGACACAATTTATTCCAGAAATATTACAATCTAATAATATCATCAGTGAATATGATTTATTTATGTTTACTTCAGATTTATCTTTACTCGAAGACTACAAATGACTACAAATGTCAAAAAACACGGTTTCCGAGCATTTAGAACTAATATGTAGCGCCATCTCTCGGTGATAACGGTATCGGTGTTCTCCGTCGGTGTCGACGCGTACCGAACGATGCCGAAGATGGTCGGAGCGGGCGAACGAGAGAGAGCGAGAGCGGTAGAGCATGCCGCGGTATCGGTGCTCTCCGTCGGTGTGACGCGTGCCGAGGAATTTCTGTGGTCTATGGGGGGAGGTGTGCGAGCGAGTGAGTACGGTAGAGCGTGCCGCGGTATCGGTGCTCTCCGTCAGTCCAACGTGCTAGTGACGTACGTCTCAATTCAACAGGAACAAACCTGCCCACTTCCTCACTTTCTCGTGAGCCGTCGCGGAGGGTGGGCGCGCGTCTCGTACTCGTCTTTTCTCTTGTTACTAACCCATTGTTTGTTGCAGGCATTCGACAACCATCAATTTATTTACTGTGCATATTATTAATTTATTTACTGTGCATATTCTTGTGTCCCCTCTCTTGTTACTAATCCCTTGTATGTTACAGATGTTCGAGAA